TACAGTGGGAAGACCTACATGGTATGATTGGAAAGGTGATGCTCAACTTAACGTAGACTGAGAGAAGGAATAGGCTGAGGAATCAGAACCAAGGGAGATGAACTCAGGCAGAGCCAGCATACTGCACAGCTCCATTCTGTGCAAGTTGTACCCCTGAAGTTGTACAACTTTAGAATTAGACCTGACCCATCACAGAGAAGTGAACCTGGTGACCTTCAGGCAGAAAGTAAGGTCAACAGTAAATGGGAAAGAGGGAAAGGACACACATCAAAGTAGGAAGTGTAGGGCGGCGAAACCAAGGCCCGCAGTAAAAGTAAAGGATAACACCCCCAATGTGATACATTGCAAATGAACCCACACTTTCCTGTTTGGAAGGTTAGGATAGAGTGACATGGTCTGGAGTCTGAGCATTTCTGTCTTTTCCATGTTTCATTTAGACCCATTTGGGGTAGGACTAGCAAGCGGTGAGTGACAGAGCAGCAAGTTGGTGCTTAGACCATATGACCCTTTAAAGGCTCCTGCAAGTTTAGATGAAGTGATTCGATGTAAATTGAAAAGTTCAGAATGAGACAAGTAATCTGGATGTTTAACAGAGGCATATAAATTTCACCTGAGGGGACTACCCTTTGCTTCTCTGTCTGATTTGTTTCCCTGCCCCTCTTTTGGTTATTGGTGAAATGCATTGGTCAGTCTTCTGACCCTCACTTCCCACACACTCCTGTCTTTTGTCTGACCATCCTTGTTCCTTTAATGCTTTGCATTCATGTATTTACTTGTAAGCCCATGAGCAGATCCCCCAACCAGTATTAATACACAAACATGTGTCACGTGTTCTCTGGCCCAGCGGGCTTCCCACTCATTGCTGATCACTGTTGTTCCTCCAGCCGGCTGAGCTTATCCCTGCTAACATCCTGTTGTTGATTCACAACACAACCAAACATCTGTTTCCTAAAAGATAATGATAATGGGGAGAGCATGTCCTTTTAAAAATAGGTGTGAGTTGATCATAGCATGGGTATTCGCTGCATTTCTCAATGTCTTAAACATCATGCTTTAGTCATCCCTTTGCATCTCTGAATGTGCCAAGTTTTGTAAGCCTAAATGACCCTAGCTAGGTAATATAGCTCATTAGGTTCATGTCAGATTACATGCATATGCATACATTTTACCAACTTGATACTTTTTTTAATAAATGTATTTAAAAATTAAAGAATACTCTAGGCTGGGCTCGGTGGCTCAGCCTGTAATCCCAGCGCTTTGGGAGGCCGAGGTGAGTGGATTGCCTGAGCCCACAGGTTCGAGACCTGCCTGGGCAACTTAGTGAGACCTCACCTCTACAATAAATCAAAAACTAGCCGGGCATGGTAGCGCGCGCCTGTAGTTCCGGCTACTTGGAAGGCTGAGGCGAAAGGATCGCTGGAGCCCAGCAGGTGAAGGCTGTGGTAGCTGGGAGCGGCCACTGCGCTCCAGTCTGGGCGAGAGTGAGACTCCAACTTAAAAAAAAAAGAGAATACTTTAGTATAATAAGCATCCTATATTATTACAAAATTAGGAATTAAATCTTGACCACATCTCTACAAAATTCACACTAAATTCACACCCTGCAGCTCAGTGAATACTTGATAACAATAGGGAATGGAAATACATAAACACATACACTCTTCTTTTTAGTTTTCCAGTCCTCCTGTTGCGGGAATGGAAAGACCTTTTCTCTTCCTGTGCTTTTGCAACATCATACACACAGTAAGAACTCATGAACTATTAGTTAATGAGTTCATGTGTCCAGGGTCTGCCATGCTGTTGTATTTAGGCACATTGTTACATATATTGACAGTTTACCACCAATTCTGTTAAAATAATATAAATCTGATCATGTGGCTTTTTTTTTTTTTTTGAGTTGAAGTCTCACTCTGTCGCCCAGACTGGAGTGCAGTGGCCGCTCCTGGCCACCGCAGCTTCGACCTGCTGGGCTCCAGCGATCCTTCCGCCTCAGCCTTCCAAGTAGCTGGAATTACAGGCGTGCGCTACCACGCCCAGCTCATTTTTTCTTTGATTTATTGTAGAGATGAGGTCTCGCTGCCCAGGCGGGTCTCGAACCCGCAGGCTCAGGCAATCCACTCATCTCAGCCTCCTACAGGCGTGGGATTACAGGCTGAGCCACCAAGCCCGACATGTGGCATTTTTTGCTTTCTTTAGAATAATTTAAAATGTGATGTTAATAGAATGTAATTTTTATTCATGAAGCATTTGTTGAATATCTACTCTGTCAAGTTCTAGGAATCCACAGAAAAAATGGTTTCTATTTACTGGGATTACGTAGTCAACTAATTTAGGAAAAGAACGCATAAGTATATAAATAATCACATGGTCACAGAATGGATTGATAAATTGAGAGATATTCAAAGTTCTGTGGAATTACATAGAAGCAGCAGCTAACTATTCTATCAGAAAAGACTCTGATCTGGCTCTTTAAGAGTGAGAATGGGCTGGGCTCAGTGGCTCAGCCTGTAATCCCAACACTTTGAGAGGCTGAGGCGAGTGGATTGCCTTAGCCCGTGGGTTCGAAACCAGCCCTGGCAACTTGGCAAGACCTAGTCTCTACAATAAATCAAAAATTAGCCAAGTGTGGTAGTACACGACTGCAGTTCCGGCTACTTGGAAGGCTGAGGAGGAAGGATCGCTGTAGCCTGGCAAGTGAACGCAAGGGTGGCCGTGAGTATGCACTCCGGCCTGGGCGACAGAGTGAGACTTCAACTCAAAAAAAAGAGTGAGGATGAATTTTTCAGATGAAGAAGCATAAAAGAACAGTACATGTTGAGAAGTGGAATTGTGTTTGAGTGGCTAGAGAACAGGGCTGCAGGAAGTGCATGTTGAGTACACGGGATATACCTTGGAGAGTGCCCTCCTATGGATTCCTACCAGTGCCTGGCTTGGAAGTTGGCCATTCGTCATACTACACCATGAATCCATGAAACACATGTCAACAACTCTGTGACCTAGCCAGACCTGTGTTTTCAGGAAAATGGAGGGAGGAGAGCTAAAGATAGGGAGAGGCCCTTAACCTGCCAGGGCTTGGTCTAGACTCCAGGGATGTGGCAGTGAGCCATACCCTCAAGGAGTTTCCATTTGAGTTGAGGGAAGAGAGAATTCCAAAAGAAATCTTTTTCAAATGTTGAGAAGTGCCAAAAGAAGAAAATCAGGCCAGATGAGTGAATGAACCAGGTGGATTCTGGGATGAGATTACTTCAGGCAGAGGGCACAAGAAATGCAAAAATGCTGAAATGGGACATACAAGCAGATGGGTGGAAGAGCAAGGAGCCCATTGTGGCCGGCACAAAGGAAGTGGTAGGCATGGCCGAAAAGGCAGTGGTGCAGTAGGAGCTTGTCAGCCAATGTGCAGTCTGTGGCTTTTACTCTGTGTGAAATGGGAAGTTGTTCAAGAGTTTTGAGCAGGGGACCAATGAAACCTGGCTTCGGTGTTAAGAAGTTCCTTGTCTGTTCTGTGAAGAGCCTGTAGGGGCAAGCTGGAGGCAGAGAGGCCAGGTAGGGGACAACAGAGGCTTGTGCCAGGTAGGGGGAGAGAGAAAAGAATAAAAACACCACGGATTTCGGTCTGTATGACTGAAAGAATGGGGTAAATGCTTGGAGACAGAAGACAATGGTGAGAATCAGTTTAGAGAAGAGTGGATTTAAATATGTTGTATTTGAGAGGCCTGTTAGACATCTAAGTAAATATGTCACTTAGGCCATAAGAGTTGAGACTCAGGAGTTCAAAAAAGATTCAGACTGGAGGTACAAATATGCTACATATATGATAGTCTCTGGAGCCTTGAGATTGGATGAGATCACCAAGGGAGCGAATGGAGGCAAGAGATCAGAGGACAGGCTCATAGAGGTCTGGGAGTTGAAGAAGAGCTGCAGGCAAGCCTGAAAAACCAGGAGGGCACATTATGCTGAGAACCACGTGAGAAGGAAGCCATCAGCTGGACGACTGCTAGTATAGGTCAGATAAGATGAGGACAAAGATCGATTACTGCATTAGCAATGAGCGGATCCTTGACCACCCCCAAGAACAGTGTCAGTGGAGTAATAGGGCTGGACGCTTCTGTAGAGTGGGCATGAGAGAGAATGGCTGGAAGTGATCTAGTCTCAGCTAATAACATCTAACTTATAGCAAATAACATGGGGTAGAGGGAAAAGCCACCCACCACAATAGAGGAGCACCAGGACAATTGGAAAGTTCTGCATTCTGTAGGACAAATGACTCCAGTCTCAACAGGTCATTAAAAAGGACTGTGCCAGACTGAAAAAGACTTAACACACATACACAGGTCCTGGCTTGGAAACCAACTCAGATAAACCATCTATAAAAGACATTTTGGGGTATATTAGAGAAATTTAATTAAATGAAATGCAAATTCATCCCAATGGAGACTGGGCATTATTGTCTTTAAAAAAAAAAACAGATTGTGTGATCTCATTGGATTTAAAATACACATATGTAAAAAAATTCTAGGAAGATGTTTAACAGTGATAATCTTTGGATAGTGGGAATGCAATTTTTAAAAATTTTGCTTGACTGTATTCTCTAGTTTTCTATAATGCAGTTAAAGATTGAATTGCTGGAACAATGTTTCTGAGTGAAACAGGATGTGATCTAGGGTGTGAGTTGACTTTCAAGCAAGGACGTTGAGGGCACAGCAAGAAGCAAGAGCCAGGAGTTACCAAACTGGTTAAAATAGAGCACCTCCTGGGTCTCCATCAGCTGAGCATTGTGCATAGCCTGAGCAGAGAAGTTGCCTCAAATACCAACAGACCAAAGGGACTGAAGTGGGCGCGTCACATCTGCTGGGTGTCAGTGTGTGAAGCTGGAGCTTAGGATTGCTTGATTTTTGACGGGATTGCAGACTGTCAGGTTGATAAACTGCATAGCTTGTGGAAAGAGAACAAGCCTGGAGTCCACATGCTGACTGCTGTCTCTGTCTCTGTCTCTTCCCCAGCACTGGCCATGGGTCTCTGTGTTGCCATGATCGCCTTCGTTCGCCTGCCAAGCCTCAAGGTTTCCTGCCTGCTTCTCTCAGGGCTTCTCATCTATGACGTCTTTTGGGTGAGAGTCTATTTTCCTGGAAGCCCCTGCCCACCTTTGTGTTGAATTGAAGCATTCACTCCCAACAGCTATTAACTATAAGTATCCAAAGTTTGGCTTGCCTGACCACCAGTCCTGAACGGTATGTGTTAAAAGGTGTGCAGGCAGCTGCCTGGGCCTTTGTTAAGATGTTATATAGTAGGTAGTGTGTGATCTTAGGATAGAAGAGATAGCAGGTAAGCGGGATTACCCGCCATGGGAGCACACCCACTTCCACTGTCAGGGAGTAATCATTGGGTGTGAGGAAAAGTTCAGAAATCTGCAAGTACACAGGAAGAGCAAAGATTGTTCTTCTCCTCGAAACATACAGTCAGGCTGGGTGTAGTGGTTCATGCCTGTAATCCTAGCACTTTAGGAGACCAAGGTGGAAAGAGTGTTTGAGCTCAGGAATTCAAGACCAGTTTGGGCAACATAGCGAGACCTCATCTCTACAAAAAAATCAGAAAGTTAGCTGGGCTTGGTGGCATGTGCCTATAGTGCCAGCACACTCAGGAGGCTGAAGTGAGAGGATCACCTGAGCTTAGGAGGTTGAGGCTGTGGTGAGCTGTGATCGTGCCACTGCATTCCAGCCTAGGCGACAGAGTGAAATCCTAATTCAAAAAAAAAGAAAGAAACGTGTAGTCAAAGCAGTGATGCCATAGCATTCTGGGACTCTGCTCTTAAGAACAAAGGGCTGATGCTAAAAGGTGGGTTGCTTCCAGCTCCCTTTTAAAGGCATCTCTCCAACTTGGCAGGTATTTTTCTCAGCCTATATCTTCAATAGCAATGTCATGGTGAAGGTGGCCACGCAGCCTGCTGACAATCCCCTCGATGTTCTGTCCCGGAAGCTCCACCTGGGGCCCAATGTTGGGCGTGATGTTCCTCGCCTGTCTCTGCCTGGAAAACTGGTCTTCCCAAGGTAGGACTGCCTTTCTGTGCCTGCCTGTTCCCTGCTTTGGTCAGTCTCTCTTGTCATCAGCATTCTTATCCTAAACTTGAAAGGGCTGTGAATTATCTCCATTGCACAAATGAGGAAATGAGGGCGAAAATATTGACTTGATCCACTAAGATTTATCACTAGGTGATACAGGTGCTGACTTTTATTATTGACTAATGTTATCAAACAGCTATCTTTACTGCTTTGACACTTTTAAGTTGGCTGGAGGGAATTAATAGGAGAACCTGAATCCTTTTTACTTCTGAGACATTTGTAAAAATATGTTCTAATGGTAGAATTAGCTCCTAGTGATATAATCTTGGCAAAATTAATATGCTGCTTTAGTCATCTGTGTCTGGTAGTAGTCAGTTGCTATTTGAAATCTCAACAGTTGAATATGTCACAAATAATGAATTGCATGACATTTTTAGAAGAGAGAGTACTTAAGCAAATCACTTCAGCAGTCCTTTACAAGGCACTCTCTTGAAACATTGGGGGGCCAGGTTGGAGACTCTATTGCCAGTACTTTTATGGCTTTTAACCTCTAAACTGTTAAAAACTATTGTTATTCAAGCATAGAGGTTTCCATCTACCATCAGAAAAGTGATTTGACTTCTTAAAAAGCTAATAGACTTTGCACAGAAGGAATCAAAACTGGATTATAGAATGTAGCATCCCTAACATACAGAACTATGTTACAGCTCCACCGGCAGCCACTTCTCCATGTTGGGCATTGGAGATATTGTGATGCCCGGTCTCCTACTGTGCTTTGTCCTCCGCTATGACAACTACAAAAAACAAGCCAGTGGGGACTCCTGTGGTGCCTCTGGACCCGCCAACATTTCTGGGCGCATGCAGAAGGTCTCCTACTTTCACTGCACCCTCATCGGATACTTCGTTGGTAAGAGAGAACAGACTGCAGATGATCATCTCTCTGGCTGTCCTCCAATGCTTGGAATTAAATCAGGCCTTATAGCTACAGATGCTGGGTAGAAGAAGAGCAGGAACTCTGGTTGCTGTAATAGACAACCAAAAAGAAACCTTCCCAGCCCATAAGTGTTCCCTGTCTCAACAGAATATCTAAGGTAGTACACTGCAGGAAAAGCATGGTCAGCCCAAAGCCAAGACACATACTACACAATGTAGCGGGTTAGCCTGCTTAAATCTTCCACTTGAGTTTAATGACTGTTACGTTTATTTCCTACTCTGTTCAACAAATATTTACATTCAGTGGTTCTGACATTTCTGTTGCCTCTGACTTAAGACTCTCACTAGGCCAGTTTTTCTCTAGGCAACTCACAGGTAGGCAGACAGGGAGAGGCCCTTGTTCTTGGGCTAGGAGTAGCGGCCACGTGCCTGCACATGTGATTGTCACTGCAGAGTGAATGGAAAAGGGCACCTCCCTTACTCCATGCCTCCTTAATACCAGCATATTAGTCATTCCAGAGCATTTCATATACGTGGGTCCATTTCAATCCAAAAGCTCAGAGGGCCAGAGTAAGTATATTACCCCATTAGACAAATGAGCAGGCTAAGGCACAGAGAGGTGAAATGCCTGAACCAAGTTACACAGCTGTTGTGAATAGCAGAGTTGGAACTGGAACCCAGGACTTTTGCCTCCAAGTCAGCATCACATGCCACAGGAGACAGAGGGAGACCAGGCACACTCAGGGATGAGAGCAAGGAGTGGGACTTGGACCTGTCACAGGTCCTTGGAGTTCTAGATTTTTAGTTACGCTGTTCCACATTTCTTTTGCTGCTCAAGCTGGGCATTTCACACCATGACCATAGGGTGGATCCAATATGCCACATTTAGATATGTACATTCTCGGGACTTTGTTAAGAAGCAGCCCAGCAACAGGGGCTCCCGCTACTGTCTCATGAACGCCTCTCTCTCTTCACAGGTCTGCTCACTGCTACTGTGGCGTCTCGCATTCACCGGGCTGCCCAGCCCGCCCTCCTCTATTTGGTGCCATTTACCTTATTGCCACTCCTCACGATGGCCTATTTAAAGGTGAGAGAAGCTGTTATAGGCCTGGGAAAGTAGTAACCTGGTATTGGCCTTGTGCTTGTGTTTGTACTCTCCTCACTAGAGGTGGTTCTGCTTAAGCCCCTGAGTAAGCTCTTGATCCTGGCTGTGTGTTGTATGTGTGCTCACCTGGCATTAGCAAACTCTTCCAGATTCTTGTAGCTGCTGTCAGAAAATGCTGATAAGCTAGGCCACTACACCACCTGGTTGTAGATTAACTAACTGAAAGTCTCAGAGCTCAGCTGTGGAGACTTCCTGCTTCTCTTAAAGGCAATGCCCCCTGCCACTTAACAGCTTGTTTAAGCTTTGCATTAAAGTTTGGAAATAAGACTGAATAGTACTGAGGCAGTATATGATAAAAACTAGATTTAGAGAGAGCATTATCTTATTTACTAGATATGTATTATCATCATCATTTTACAGATGAGGAACAGATATAGAAACTAAGTTGCTTGCCCAAGCCATCTGACTCACAAGTGGGAGAACTTAACCTTACGACAGAATTGATAAAAGCCCTTTCTTGCTCAAGGGGCCTAAGAGCTTCTTTTCTAGGGTGTTCTTCTAAAAACGACGGGTTACTTTTCAGTAAGTATAATCTGAATGCTCTTTAATTCCCCACAGAAGCAATCTTATCTTAGATCAAGAGTCAGAAAGGACTTGTAACTGTGTGGACCTCATGTTAAAATGCATAACTTAGTAATAAAGTCCCTTCTTTCTCAGGGTGACCTCCGGCGGATGTGGTCTGAGCCATTCCACTCCAAGACCAGCAGCTCCCGATTCCTGGAAGTATGATAGATCACATAGACATGACCAGAATGGCCATCATAGTCCTTTTCTCTCAACTCGTGGTTTTGTTTCCTCTTAGAGCTGGGCTGGTACTCAGAGATGTACCTATTTAAGGAACTGCTGTGTGACTGGATTTTGCATTTAAAGGGAGCTTGTTGACTGGAGAGAGGCGCTGGAGCCCTGTGTGGGTCCTTCTCTCCCTGCAGCTGTAGAGATGGAGCCTCTTCCAGAGGGACAGACCTCCCCCCAGCACTCCTTCCTCCCCCGTTTTTATGGATCTGCACCAGACTGTTACCTTGTGGGGGAGATGGAGATTTGACTGTTTAAAAACTGAAAACAGCAAGAATTCATTCTAGAACTTTTGAACACTAAAAGGATGAAAAATATTAGCAAACCGAAGTTTCTTCAATGAACCCTCAAGAACTTTGGGACCAGTTTCCTATGGGGGACTCAGTTTCAGAGAACTGAGACAGAAGCTCTTCTGTCGTTATATTCTTCTTTCCTTTTTTTGGATTTATTAAATATTTTCTGTGGTGTGAAGTGACTTATTAAATCCACAGACATTGAGTGACTTCTTACAACATCCGCATAAGAATTTGTTGTAATGAGTTTATGTCCACTCAAATGTTGTGTTGGCAGTGAACAAGGGCACGGTTTTTATACATATATATATATACACATAGATATATATAAATAAACAAAAATTAAAACCTGCTAAGATCACGCTGTGTAGCAGACAGGGGCTTGCTGTCGTTTTGAGCATGTCGAGCAGTTTACTGTGGCTTCCTTGTATATGGATAAGCTGCTGTCTTTCCCCTTCACAATTGACCCTGCAGTTACAAACCAGTATAGCGTATGTGCTGATATACTCATGGACTGTAGGAGACTCCTACTTGGTTTTGATCAGTGTAGCAAATTAGGGATGAAAAGTTAAAACCTTTTGGCCCTTTTTTTTCTTTTTACAGGCTTCTCCTTTGCAGGGTTTTTAGTAGTTTCTTCTTGAACCAGTGCATGTATTATAGCAGCAGGTGTCTTTGTGCTTTCTGATCATAGTAATGTACTACTTGTAAATACATTTTTCTATTTTCTATTTTTTTGTATTTTTTTTTTTTGACATTTTGTTTCATTGGTGTGCTGTATTTTCCATACCCTCATTCCTTAAAAAAAAAAAAAAAGGAAAAAAAGCAACACAGTTCTGTCCTTGCTGTTGTGATTATAGTCTTGGTTTACCTGTGGTGACAACTGGGTACTGGGGACTCAAGTGCCCCTCTGAGACAGGCCCTGAATTCCAGGAACTGAGGAGAGAACAGGCTGCACTGTCCCCTTAGAACCAGACCCTGTGCTGTGGTCTTTGCTGGAGAACCCCGAGTTCTGGTAGTAACTAGTAATGTCTGCTTGCCTTTATCTGAGCAGCTGCAGCCTGACAAGAAACTGCCCATTTTTCAGAGGCAGAGAGAAGCCTGGAGTTGGCCTGAGGATATCTGACAGCAGAGGTCAGATAAGGATCCTTGTGTCCTGGTTTCCCACTTCAGGCCACTGCCTCAGTGGCCTGCCCCTGTCTTGACTTGTGTAATGAACTGGTGTGCTGTTGTCTCCATGGCTTGAAGTCACTGTGGATAGAGCTCCTGCGGGGTGCTCATCGTGTTGTCAACCAAGCCTGAAGCGATCAGGGTGTTGGATTCCTCTGTTGTTGTCGTCTTCCAATTCTGCCGAAGGGTGTTTTGGGTTTTGTTTCTAATAAATGACTTCTTTGTAGCCTTTGTCACATCATGTTCACTTTTGGTAGTTGGTACCAAACAGAGCTCCCAGTCACCTCCTACCTGCTCCGCCTGTTCCAAAAGACTGATGGGAAGGCCCTGTCTGTTTTCAGACTTGGTCACCTGTGGCTCTGGTTCAGCCATAGAGATGTCAAAGAAGTGAAGCTTCTGTTGTCCACAGAACTCAAAACCACCTCTGGATTTGGTGAAGTCTAAAAATACATTCATATACTCACTGTTTATCAGCAGAACTAACTTCTTTCTCAGGCCTCAAGGATGCAAATGGCTAATTAAATGACTCAGATTAAGGGCAAGTGCCAGTAATGGGTAGAAATAATGTTATTATCCTGCAAGTTCATCATTTTAATTTTTCTAACTATCTTTGTTTTCATAAAAAAAAATTAAATTCCACCCAGATGGAGCATAATTTTTTTTGTCATTCTCGCTTCTGTGCAGGTTTTGGGGTGGGGTAGTGGGATACCCACACAAGACTCATGAATGTAACTTCGATTCCAGTTGCCAAGTTTCAAAGCCTTTAAAACTTTGGCAGAGAAACTATAAATATTCCACTTGTTTTAAATTAACCACAGTAGACATGCTAGAGTCTCCCCCCAGTTCTGGAAGCCCTGCTCTTTTGATTGGGGTGGGAGTGGGCTGAAGTTAAAGCACATGCTTTAGATTTTCCTTCTGGTCCCCCTTCTTTCCTCCCCACTACCTGTTCTCATCTCATTCTTTGTGGTTTCTTAAATGCTGTGGTTTGGGGGTTTTCTGTCTAAGAAGTCTTCTGCACCAGGCATGGCATGTTTACAGAGGTTCAGCATGGACCCCTCCCTCCCTCACTGGTCTGAGGTTCTTCCCTCTACCTCCTGAAGAGAATGCATGTTGCAACTCTCACTTTTTCATAATTTGAACTAATGAAGCCGTGACAGCAAAGTTTATTCAAGGCCTAGTGTGTTCCATTACTATCATTAACAGTATTGAATGCCTTTTCTGAACAAGACAGTGGCACAGCTCCCTGCATAGACATGGTTAAAACCATGGGGCATTGGAGGTAGGCTACTGTGTGGATTACCTTTGTAGCAAGCTCATGGGCCTTGGGTAAACAGGTAAGTTATGTTACCACAAGAAAAAAAAGACCAGTTCTCTGTAAGGGTGGAGGGAAAGGGAGTTCTGTTTGCCAATAAAGTGTTAAAAATAGAATCTGCCGTGTCTGCATAACAGCTCTCACATTATTGCTCACCAGATCCAAGGTTGTATGTAAACATTTCTGTTTTGTAAAGGTTAACATTTCCGTCAGAGGCTGGGAATGCAGCAGCCATGTATGTGCATGAAGTGTGCTCCTCGAGGACATCAGCTGTGCGACCCTCCTGAGCATGTCAGAAGGAAACCATTCTCCTCTACTCCTGGTCTTCCAAAGCATACTGATCGGACAGCCTCCCACACTTCACGAAATCACACTTCTTTGGCAATTTTCAACTGTGAAGTCACTTGAAGAACAATGGCTCCTAACACATGTCAACGGAAATGCTGCAAACCTAGTAATAGAATGCAAGCCTCTTCTGAAAGGGATGAATCAGGTAAGACTTCTTAATCCAGAGATGATTCATATTCCTGTGCAGTGTATAGGCTGCTGCTTTTTGTTGTTGTTGTTTTGTTTTTTGTTTTGAGACAAGGTTTCACTCTGTTACCCAGACTGGAATGCAGTGGTGCAATCCTGGCTCACTGCAGCCTCAACCTCATGGCCTCAAGTGATCCTCCCATCTCAGCCTCCTGAGTAGCTGGGGCTATAGGCATGCACCACCACACCCAGCTAATGTTTTTTAATTTTTGTAGAGACAAATTCTTACTACATTGCCCAGGCTGGTCTCCAAGTTCTGGGCACAAGCTATTCCCCCACCTCCCCACAGAGTCCTAGGACTATAGGCATGAGCCACTGCACCCAGCCTAGACTGCTTTTTCCATCTACAAAACTCTAAACTCAAATTTCTACAGGTTCAGATTCTAACTATCTCATCTGTACAGCAGTCCTCCTTTTGATTATGTCATTTATTTCTCTTCCTCAATCGTTCCCTTGGAATTCAAAGCCCTTTCCCACCCATTAGCAGTAGTTTTGTCATGTTTTGGTGCCCCAGCTTGAGGCACTGGGTGCTCAAGTGAACAAAACCGAGATGCTGGTCCCTGACTCCCATGGTCCTTGCAGGGGTTGCTTTAATATGCTGGGTTTGCAGGGAGAGGAAGGGGGCCCCCACAAACAAGGTTACCCATGGATGCCATATTGAGCTCAAGAATGGAATCTGTCACTTTCTGTCCACAACTCGGCCTTGCTGCAAATGGCAAAGGCACCAACTGAGCATTCTGTATCACAGGACTGGATGTGCCAGTTGGGAGAAGGTTGAGAAGCAGGTTGGTTCAGGAGTCTGGTACTCCTGATGGACACAGGCCAGCATTTAACCAGATGTTTCTATTACAGTTGAAAGAAGCTAACATCTTCTGCAGCACCAAGTGCACACAACCCTGTTTAATCACAACAGGGTTGAGAAGTCTTACTGCTCCAAGTCAGCAGTTCGCAGATGCTTTATCTAAATGTCCTTCTGGGAGGCTGTAAAAACTCTAACTTTGTACATAGCTTATTGCTGATCACTTCAGTGTGTTGTGGAGCTTAGATATTTGAGTTATTAAGAATTAATGAGGCTGAGCACAGTGGCTCAAGCCTGTAATCCCAGTATTTTGGGAGGCAGAGTGGATTACCTGAGCCCGTGGATTCGAGAACAGCCTAGGCAACTTGGCGAGACCTCATCTCTACAATAAATCAAAAAAATTAGCCAGGCGTGGTAGTGTATGCCTTAGTTCCAGCTACTTGGAAGGCTGAGGTGGAAGGATTGCCTGAACCCAGCAGGTCAACACTGGGGTGGTCGTGAGCATGCCACTGCACTCCAGCCTGCATGACAGACACTCTAACTCAAAAAAATTTTTTTATTTTAAGAATTAATGAAGCCGGGCTCGGTGGCTCAGCCTGTAATCCCACCGCCTTTGGGAGGCTGAGATGAGTGGATTGCCTGAGCCTGCGGGTTCGAGACCCACCTGGGCAGCGAGACCTCATCTCTACAATAAATAAAAAAATCAGCCGGGCGTGATAGCGCATGCCTGTAATTCTGGCTACTTGGAAGGCTGAGACGGAAGGATCGCTGGAGCCCAGCAGGTGGAGGCTGCAGTGGCCAGGAGCGGCCACTGCACTCCAGTTTGGGCGACAGAGTGAGACTCCAACTCAAAAAAAAAAAGAATTAATGAGCCAGATGCTGTGGCTCACACCTGTAATCCCAGCACTTTGGGAGGCAGAGGTGAGAGGATTGCCTGAGCTGAGGAGTTTGAGACCAGCCTGGGCAACTTGGTGAGACTTTGTCTCTACAGTAAATAAAAAAAATTAGCCAAGTGTGGTGGTGCACACTGCACGTTGCAGCTACTTGGAAGGGCAAGCCGGAAGGATCGCCTGAGCCCGGCAGGTCAAAGCTGCAGTTGCTGTGAGTGTGCCACTACATTCCAACCTGGTGGCAACAGTGAGACTCCAACCCCCGCCCTCCCCCCCCCAAAAAAAAGAATTCATGTGGTAGTCTCAGCTTAATTTATGGTCCCTTTCATTTGGATTCTTCCAAGTCAGTTCCTTCCTTAAGTTCTAAGAAGTCTGTTTCCTGTACAGTATAACCTATAAAACTTGCTATCAGTTTTCAAGCAGACCTGTTATACCTATGGGTCCCAAAATATTTGAGCCCACTGCTTTCTCCAGCCCCCACAGAGCCCTGGGATTCCCATTAGATCCAAAGATCACAGAAAAGTGGGAACCATTTAGGCAGCAGACACAAGACTTGGGAGCCTGGGGGTGGTGAAGTCCGCCAAGCAGTGGGCAGTGGGCCTTCACTTGTGAGGAATGAAAGACAGGAAGTGGGTGTCCACAGGACAAAGATGGAGAGGGGGAGGCAGGATGGTCACTTGCCAGCATTCCAGCCCCAGGGTTCTGAGTGCCAGTTGCTGTGCCTTTCCTAGGAGACTGCTCTAGACACATTACTTATCAGCCTTCCGGCGTGACATTTGAGCCAGCATGTATACTGTACTTCTGGCTCTTTTTTTTGAGTTGGAATCTCACTCTTGTCACCCAGGCTAGAATGCAGGGGCATGCTCACAGCTGTTGCAGCCTCAGCCTGCTGGGCTCTGGCTATCCTTCTACCTCAGCCTTCCAAGTAGTTGGATCCCCAGACCTGTACCAGCATGCCCAGCTAACTTTTTGATTCATTGTAGAGACAAGGTCTCACCAAGTTACCCAGCCTGGTCTCAGGCAATCCTCTCGCCTCCACCTCCCAAAGAGTTGGAATTACAGGCACAAGCCACCATGCCCGACCTTCTTCTGGCTTTTGTATTTGAGCCTTTGCCATTGGAGACTGAATGTCCTCACAGTTTCAGTTGGTGTTGTGCCTTGATTGTTTCGGATTTTTATCCCCAAGTATATAAGTAGCATGTTTTGTATGGGCTTCTCAGGGAAGGCACATATGTGATTTCAGAAAAGGAGGTTAGGGACTTGCTAATACAGGGAGGGGCTAAGAGACAAAGGGTTTCACAGATGAGTTCTTGTCTTGCCAGGTCAACAGTGGTAGAAGAGAGCGCTGCCCTTCCAAAAACCACCTGCTGGTGCTGGACCACACCTCATCAGCATGCTCCACTTCCTGGTACAATCCTGTCCTGGCTGGGCTCGGTGGCTCAGCCTGTAATCCCAGCGCTTTGGGAGGCCGAGGTGAGTAGATTGCCTGAGCCCGCAGGTTTGAGACCCCCCTGGGCAACTTGGCGAGACCTCATCTCTACAATAAATTTTAAAAATTAGCCGGTCATGGCAGCGCGCGTCTATAGTTCCAGCTACTTGGAAGGCTGAGGCGGAAGGATCGCCGGAGCCCAGCAGGTTGAGGCTGCAGTGGCCGGGAGCAACCACTGCACTCCAGTCTGAGCGACAGTGAG